GGAATAAGTATATACGTTATTTTAATTTATTCTACATATCTTTTTTATCCCGGCTGTTAGATGTTCTGAAGACATCATAATGAGCGAGAAAATCTCCAGCAAAGTGGCGCATTTTTTGACAGGCGGGAAGAAAGGCAGGGTATGCGTCCAGGGCAACACGCTCCAGGTCTTGAGTGATTTTTTGTCATCTCATATTTTGAATAAAAATATGAGATAATTGTAAATTTTTAAAGAAAAACAGATTTTGTTTAGAATTTGTATCGTTTCTAGAAAAATGGTTATTCGTGTTAAAAAAAACCCTATGTTGTAAGTTTTATTTTGTCTCGTCATGTCTTGGATCTAAAATGACCTTGTATTTTATATTAAAATAACGGACTTGTCTCCGTGGTGGTAGTGAGGGGGGAGAGGTAGCTACAGCCCTCACTCACCACCCCTGCTGCCCGCCCTCACCTCCGCTCCCCACAAAGTTACCTCGTCCGTGAAATCCGAGATTCATTTGGATTTTTTGGTCAAGATTTTATGTGAGGTTGGCCGACCCTGAAGGTGGCCTTCCTCTTTTATCCGGGTTTGGGCCCGACGTGTTCATATAAGCGGAATGTGTTTGGCCACACGGATACAACACTCGTGTAGACCTTGTTAACTGGCCGCTGTATTACCGGTCTGTGTTATCTTCACTTTTTTTTCGTTTAATTATATGACAATATTTGTATATTTTGCTGTTCACATAGTTTTATATCATCAGAAACCATCTTTTTATGTCCTGAATATACAGAGTATATGTATTCTATAATAATAAAAGGACGTGTCCATCCGTGATTGTCTGTCTGTGTAATGATTCAGCTGTAGCGCCAGGGAAGCAGTTAGAAACTTCACACCCATATTACATGAGTACCAAGGTTGTGCACCTCGGTATTACTATTGACCACGGACCCCCGGGTGGTCGGGACAACAAGCAAAATTCTCCCTCGACTGAGATATCACCACGGTGATTGTGGGAGGTGGTTACCCGTGTCAGGGATGACAGGTTATACAGTATATACCTAACCCATGCAAAGCCGGACAATCGGACTATAAAAGGGTAGACAAAGGATGCGAGTTTTCGTTGCGTATAATAAAGTGCCATAAATTCCTTAACAAAATATTCAGCTTCCTATAAATTACCCTTAACCATACTTAACCTAAACATTAACAGTATATACATATTAATACAACATAAAACAATCGTGAAGCAAGGTGGAGGTGGGAGGCAATATAAGATAACAAATACTTAAGTGCGGAGCTGAGATGGCTGGCGAGCAAGGCTGAGTATTGTAGAAGACGGTAGGTAGTCACTGTGCCGTAGGTTTCCAGGATAGGTGATCCTGTGGTCACTTCCCAGAGTGAACTGAACTCTCATCGAACTGGAGCTGACGAGGAAGACTTTGAGGAGGTGACGCAACAACCAGGATATGGAGAAGGGAAACCCCGGAGTGGTAACTAAGAGTAGTCATACTCGGGTTTCGTCCCTAGATGGCGTTGCTCGTGGTGCTGGGTAGGTAGATCATGACAATTGGTGGCGTGGTTCGTAAAAATATATATATATATATATATATATATATATATATATATATATATATATATATATATATATATATATATATTTATATATATATTTATATATATATATATATAAGAAAACCTAACGGAAGTTCTGTGTACATACTGTAAAAGGAAAACTTTTCAGCAGGAAATATCTAGAGATTGAAAGTCAACGCAGCGGGAGTAATGGGAGAGGCACGGAGCCCGAGGATTCGTATTAAGCCTCATAACGGGATGACTTGATGATGAAAAGTGTGGAAGGTATGGGAGAGGTACGGCGGGTATACAGCTGGTAGAGAGGGGGGAGGAGATATTAAACCAAAAACCAGCACAGGAAGTGATAAAAATAGATATAACCATAGGATAATAATGTTTAACTCTGCCAGAAGTTTTAAAGTTAGTGTGTCTGGAGGAGGGAGACTGGCTACCATTGGAAGTAGGACTACGTCAAGGCTGTGCCGCCATGATAATATAATATTCTCACAGATGGTGTCGTAAGACAGGTGGGCACAGGTGAAGTAGAAGTATTTAAGTGTGATTAATAATGGTACAAGAAAAATAAAAAAATGTAAGTTTGGAAGAGTAGGCACCAGGAAGACGTGAATAGTGAATGTAACAAGACACGTAAAAAATTATAAACAAGTTGTAAAGTGAAATAAAAATATTAAATTTTTGCCATCAAACTTAAGAAGACTGAAAATTTTTCTGTTAATGATAAAGGAAAGAAAAATGTAGGTGTTAAACTTATCGTCAAGAAATGGAAGCAACGATGACCATAAACTGCAATTCACTTTTCCTTCTTCAAGTATTAAACACACACACACACACACACACACACACACACACACACACACACACACATACACATACACATTAAACAGCAGGGGATAGCTACCAGAGACACTTGAGAGATATAGCTTTAATTAACCTTAATACCGAGAACTCATCATTAAACTGAGTCTTCCACATAACTAAAAAAAATCATCTGTTACAAACTTTCTCAATAGCAATGTGTAATACCTCAACATATTTACATTATATATGAACGATCTATTTCACTCTTATACTCACTCAATCAGTTCATCACCAGACAGTCACTTATTTCACTGGGGTATTCTTCATTCAGCCGCAGGAAGAAATGTCTGAACCTAACCTAACCGAACCGCACCGAACCCCACCGAACCGCACCGCACCGCACCGAACCGCACCGAACCGAACCGAACCGAACTTAAATTATGAATGAATTGAAACAAGAAAACAGACGGTGGTTGAGAAGCCAAGAAGTAACATCACGGTAGCAGCAGCAATACGGCAGCTGCTGAGAATCTTAAAGGTCTTACTGTAGATCAAAGTTGGTGCTCTGACCTTTGAGAGGGTGATGGGCCCTTTGACTATATGTCTGGTAGTGGTTGTAGAGGTGGTTGGGTAGTGAAGCAGGTGATTAGAAGTTTGACTATTACAGAAATGTGACCAAAAATATCTTACCATCTAAAAAGTTTATTCCATACAAGATTTTGACTGTGATTTTGTTCTTGATGTCCGACAAGTCGTGACGAAAACAAATGTTCATTAAGTTTTCTCGGTGTAACTCTAATAATTGTAATGAAGAAGGTAGGAGGCCTCAGCTTTAAATGTTCAGTAGTGTAGAAGTAAAACGGAACCTGCCTACCTGACGTGAAAGGTAATGTCGGGGCCTCATTATCTCCCAGTGGTCACTAAACTCTTAATGATACTGCTACAGCCTACACTGACGATACTTTGTGTTGTACACTGACCCAGTATACTGACACATTACTGTACAGTATATAATTGAACTATTCACAGACAAGTATTGTACACTAACACACTACGGTGCACTAACACAGTCCAGCACAGTACAACTCACTGACAAGTACAGTACATTGACGGGAAAAAAAACAGCATTGACATACAGTACACAAACAATACAGAGTACACTTACAGTGTTGTACACTGACAAAATAAGAGTACAAAGACACAGTATAGTACACTGATGAAGTAGAATACGCTGTCGCATTAGGTACATAATGTAGCTAATTGTGGTAGAGTACACTGACGCCCTACACTGACATAATACTGTATGCTGCTACAACACACTAACACCATACATGGACAGAACACTGATACAGATGGGAGCTTGGACCAACTTCAAGACGGAGATGATGGTATCAACAACACTGCAGCAGACGAGCTTCACCACTTACAAAATAAACTTACTTTACCTCACACAGCTGGAGAAGTGCGAGCCAGCTGTTGTATACATTAGGCTGGCAGATCCTGTCAACGCTCTTACTAAAAGCAAAAAAGTTTCTTCATGGACGTTGTAAGCACGAGCAGGGTTATAAATATTAACCAAACCTAAAAAAAAAAGTGAACGTGTAGAAAGTGGATCCTATTTACCTGGAGGTTAGAGGCGGTGCGGATACAGCCCAGGGAGGCACCATACTCAACCCTTCACTTCCCATATAACGTCAAGGTCTCGTCCACAGCAGGATCGACACAGACAGCCTCATAAATGAACCCTACTGACTAGTCTAGCTTTTGGTGATATAATCTAAGGCTTCCATATCCCCTGAATTTGTTGTAGGTAAAACCCGGAGTGCCTGGAGTTCCAACAACTATCGACCACCGCTTCGTCAGTATTGCAGAGTTATCGGAAAGTGGGAATATTGATCCGCGAGGAATTACATACATGTTGTAGACGCGCCCTTAATGATAATACTGTTGAGGGAAGTTTTAATGACTTAGGGAACTCTAACATAACCTAACCTAACCTAACACAACACACAGCTTCTATATATCAGGAGTTCTGGCGGTTCAAGGCATTTAACCTCAATAGCCAGAAAACTAAACACACACACGTAAAACATAAAATAAAGATGGTAAAAAAAAAAACCTTGAAACGTGAAGAGAAGAGAGATTTTTACAGGAATGTGTTGTTCCCTTTTCACATGACCATAATATCTTAATACTCTCACGCAGATCAATGTTGCTCAACTCTAAGGAATTTTATCTGAAGCGTTCATGATAACATCCGGGAACTGCCGGCGACTCGAACACTTACAGTGTATGCTGTAGATAGAATAGCATGTGCTATTGTTCGGTTTTTTTTTAGCACACGAAAGGGCAGCTGGTGAATGGTAGACACACGTGGACTCAGCAGGTAGACACACGTGGACTCAGCAGGTAGACACACGTGGACTCAGCAGGTAGACACACGTGGACTCAGCAGGTAGACACACGTGGCCTTGGCAGGTAGACACACGTGGCCTTGGCAGGTAGACACACGTGGACTCAGCAGGTAGACACACGTGGACTCAGCAGGTAGACACAGGTAATCAATGTTTCACTATTCTCAAAAATAGATGAGAGTAATTATTTTTTTCTTTCTCTCTCTTCAACAGACTGCAGTAGTGGAGTGAAGCGTGTGGACCTCCAGGGCCCTCACCACCGACACACCTCCCTTGGCCTCCTCCACCCATAGTCCCAGGTGTGTACATGTATATCTCTCGCTTCCTGGCCACTAGCCTCCCTCTACCTGCTATGATTAAATCTCTTGGTAATGTTAATTTGATTTTTAAACGTCTAGTTTCCCGTGGATCAATGTTATAATGACTTACTCTTGAGTTTATTATTTTACACTCATACTACTACTTTGCATGTCACTCGGAATCGAGTATGGCGATCATTCAGCTATGACACAGTGATATGAGTTATTAAGGATGTCACCTTTGTTAGTGAACTCTGAAGTAACTAGAGAGGCCGATACGGGATCGGCAGCGCCGTCCACAGATGTTGCACGTGTGGAGGGTTACATCTAGTGTGGGAGGGGCGGCGGCGGCGCTGGCCTTTGTCTGGCTTATTATGCAGTTGAGCTAACTCGAAAGTATTGATTCCTTCTCGTGTGGTGCTCCTCCAAGCATTACGGTGTGGAGTAATCGTCTCCCAAGTGAGGGATTCGATTTGGCACTCTTTCAGGTTTGTCTTAAGACTGTCCTTATACCTTTTCCGTTGTCCGCCAGCGTTACGTTTACTATTCGTTAGGTGATTGTAAAGTAGCTGCTTTGGCAGTCTACTGTCGTCCATGCAGGTAACATGGCCAGTCCAACGTAGTTGTTCATGGATACTGGTAGCCTCGATGCTCCTACAGTTGGTGTCAGCGAGAATATTGGCACTTGTTCTCTTATCTTCCCAACGAACTCTTGAGGATGGAACGTAAGACTATGTTGGTGAAAGTTTTCAAGTGCCTTGAGGTGCCTCCTGTATGTGACCCATGTCTCGCTGCCATACAGAAGGGTGGGGAGGACCACTGTTCTATATACGTGCAACTTTGTATCTAATTTCAGTTCCCTACAGCTGAAGACACGGGTACGGAGTCTACCAAAGGCTTGAGATGCAGACTGATCCGATGTTGAATCTCTTCATCGATGTCCGCGGTGGTGGACAGGTGGGAGCCGAGATACCGAAAGTGGGTAACATTAGATAGGGTAGTACCGCTAAGCTGGATGGATGGTGGAGGGGTGACTGAACCAGGGGCAGGCTGAAAGAGAATCTGAGTCTTACGTACATTCACATCACGGCTGAAGTGTGCATACGCAACTGCGTAGGTGTTTATCATCTACCATAGGTCGCGTTCAGTATGAACGACGAGGGTGAGGTCGTGTGCATACTGAAGTTCAGTGATGGAAACGGCCGACACCTTTGTTCCTACCTGGAGTCGTCTTATATTGAAAAATCCCTTCATCCGTTCCTGAATGTCCATACCGCCGGCTAAATTGGCACTGGTACGAGTAAGGAAGGCAGCCAAGAAAATGGAAAAGAGAGTTGGTGCCAGTACACACCCTTGTTTTACCCCCGTTTAGATGGGGAAGAACACAGACTATGTACCATTGTACCATTGCGTAGGACACTGCCGTTCATGCCATCGTGGAGTTGCCTCACAAAGGCAATGAATTTGGGTGGGTTGCCTAAGCAATTGGGGGTCCGCCAGAGGGCTTCCCTGTTGACCAAGTCGAAGGTCAATGAAGGCCATGTACATGTCACAACGCTGTTCTCTGCAGTTTTTCTCTATCTGGCGGGCAGCAAAGAACATGTCAGTGGTGCCATGTGATGGTCTCAAGCCACATTGAGATTCTGGGAGGAAGTTTTCCGCCTCAGCAAGAAGTCTGTTTACGAGGACTCAAGAGGTAATCTTGCCAGCTACGGACAGCAGTGAGATCCTGCGGTAGTTGCCACAGTCTGACCGGTCTCCCCTGTTCTTATAAATATTGACAATGGAGGCATCTTTAAAAGCTTGGGGGATTTCCTCCCTTTCCCATATATTCTCCAGGAGAGAGTGGAGACGGCTGGTAAGCAGAGGTCCTCCTGCTTTATACACCTCGGCTGGGATTCCACCAGGCCCTGTTGCTTTGTTATTTTTCATCTGCTTAATGGCAGTAGCTACCTCATCCAAGGATGAAGATAGCTGAGGTGGGTCAGTTCTGGATGCTGAGTGCACCTGCTGGGTGGTCAGGACATCCACATCGGTGTTTCGGTTGAGCAGTGCTGAAGGAGGCCTTCTTCGTCTTTAATTAGGGAGTTACCGTCGGATGAGTGGATGTGCGGTTGCCCAGTCAGGTTGTTTCTTTAGGCAGGCTATGTTTAGGGTACCTTTTCTAGCCGCCCCCTCCATGTGTTGTAAGGAGAGTGGCTCCTGGGACGGGCTGCTAAGTCGCACAGACAGGACCGGATTGAACTGCTGTCTAGATCCCAGTGCATAAACGACCTTATCTGTGCCTCCCATGTGCAGAGTTGTGACTAGAGAGTTCCAGCAGTCATCTCTGCCTGTCCCCGTCGCCACTCGTCTGTTGCCATAGGACTCTTGGGGGTATAGGGGTTTTGATGATGATGAGAGGTATGATGAGCTGAATGATGGCTGCTCGTGACTTGATATGTGGTGAAGCAGTTAGTTGCAACCACTGAGGAGAGGGAGAGTTGCAATGGACTGCCGATAGCCCAGTTTGTTGGGTTTTGCCTTAGTAGCCTGTCCATCATGTACTGCTTTCATCTGCCGGTGTAGTCGTTGGGTTCCCATGTTGGTCACCTCTTCCGTCTCTACCGCATTTGGGGTCTTACTGGAGCTCTGTAAGCATGTTTGCCTTATGCGGGGCTCCACTGCAGATTTTTCGTTTGGGGTTTACTCCAGGACGTGTCCACATGCCAGTGGGCATATGTATTATCCCTCTGGGGCCTACTGCTGCTCCGAGATCCTCTGCTGGTCTAGCCTGGACCCAAGAGACACCCAGCTACCACGTGCTGCCACAGGGAGTCACAGCAGGAGTCTTGATGGTGAAGAGGCTGTGTACTGGCAGGGAAAGACTTCTTCATCACCACGAGGGCTAGCCAGCTGCAGTAGCTGAAAGCGAGGGGAAGCAAGCAGTGCATGCACCTTAACACTAACATAATGCTGTCCCACTTGACGCGTTACATCACCCTACACACACACACACACACACACACACACACACACACACACACACACAACGTAAACACCTAGAAAAAGTGCAAAAGAGGGCATGCAAGATTATTCTCTCCCCTTCCTACTCCACATATCAAGAAGCGCTCAACACACTGACCCTTTCGACTCTCACTGACCATCACCACGGCCTCATCTGCAAATTTGGTAAGAAGCTTCTACACCATCCTCGACACCGGCCCCTACTACCACCTGAGATCCCCTGTCCGAGAATTGCTGTTCGACACCACAACCGCATCCAGCCCATACGTGCACGAACTGATCGCTATAAGAACAGCCCAGTCCCAACCATTGTAAAAATTATCAATAACATGTAATAAATCAGTGTATTCACTCCCAGTAAACACTGCTCCCTACACTGTCACTATGTTGAAATGAACTGTATTTTGAGCTGATCCCCATCTAAGTTACTATATGTCTTATTTGTGTCACTTATGTCACTTGTATATTATTTGTAATTCGTAACCCATTCCCCAAATATGTAACTGTATATTTTCAGCCTTCTGGCTGCCAAGCTCTTTCAATAAACCGTTAATTATTATTATTATTATTATTACACACACACACACACACACACGTATATGCAACAAACAATCGTGATCACAAACTCATAAATACACAAAGGAACAAATGTGTTCTTTTTCTTGTTCTAATTTTTGGGTTCATTATGAAAACATATATACGGAGACAGGTGAGAAAATGGTGGTGTTTACTGAGTCAACATTGTTACCAAAGAGGCGAGGTCACCAGTGTGTTCTCCCCCTCCGTCTCTCCCTCTCTTCCTCCTTCCTTCTTTCCTCCCTTTTTTCCCTCCCATCTTCCTCCTTCTCTCTCCCCTTTCTTCCTCCCTCCCTCCCTCTCTCCCTCCCTCTCGTATCCTTCTGGTAGTTTGTGGTTGTGTTCTGTTACCGATTCTTTTCCGTCACTATGCGGTGTTGACGTTTGTGATGGTTAAATAAAATGGCTCCTGATCTCAGAGGATAAAGTAGAACAAAGTTGGTTAAAATAATTATTTGGTGTGTCCAAACTAACCTGAAGATCTGATTCTCAAAAGTTCCTACGTTCGGGTTCCCCCCCTCCCTTCCCTCCCTCCCTCCCCTACCTCCCTCCCTCCCCCTACCCTCCCTCCCTCCCCTCCCCTCCTACCCTCCCCTCCCCTACCCTACCCTCCCTACCCCTACCCTCCCCTCCCTCCCTCCCCTCCCTCTCTCCCTCCCTCCCCTACCCTCCCCTACCCTCCCTATAAATTGGACGACCACAGGTATAGGAGTACTGAAAGTGCACTCTTGTGGAAATATCAGGTGACGTTATCTGTTTATTCATCATCAAGTATGGCGGCATGTTTACACTGACGTAGAGAGGGATGGGAGATAAGCTCCCCCCCTCCCCCCCTCAGAGTAAAACAAACACCCCCCCACACACACAGAGTAAACAAACACCCCCACACACAGAGTAAACAAACACCCCCCACACACAGAGTAAACAAACACTTCTCCCCCACACACAGAGTAACAAACACCCCTTCTCCCCACACACAGAGTAAACAAACACCCCCCCCCCCACACACACACAGTAAACAAAACACATGATATAACAACAGTGACGATGCTTGGGGAATATCTGTTGAGCTGTCACGGTGAAGCTTTATAAATACAGATCCAAGGTTAAATGTTTCCTTGATCTTCCCTTGTTCTCCATAACACACAGCGTCTTTATTTTTGTTCTTTGTGGCGCCCTGAACTTATTCTACCCTTCCCTGTTCACATTCTTTCCACTTGATGATTTAAAAAAAAAAAAACCTATCGCTATCAGCAGGGGTTAGGTTAGGTTAAATAAAATGTGGCGAAAGTATGATTAATGTAGGTTAGGTAATATAAGCTAGAATGCTGTAAGGTAACCTGTGTACTGTATATTACTAGGGTCTGTTATAGATGCATTACCCGAGTGGAGGTGACGGAAGATAGTGCACGACCCTC